GGCTGGGGATAGTGTCATATGCTGCACTTTAATCTGTTGCACCACCAGGGAGGGCCCAAGACAACAGATCTTAAAAAATCTTATACCCAGAAAAAAAATTGTACTTATGTGTGGTGATGGATATTAACAAACTTATTTTGGTGATCATTACACATATATTAAATGTTGCTTTATTTACCAAAAACTAATACAGTATTATCTTCCAATTAAAGCATTTTAAATAAAATAAAATTAAAAGATATTCTTTCTTACCTGATGAGCATAGATAGTATCATATATTAGAGTCCACATAATTCCAGAAAAATAAAGAGGCAGACAAATAGATGGATCACAAGATCCCTTGATAGCAGACCATCCAAGTAACGCTCCCCAATTAAAAGTCATTCCTACAATTACCAAACAGACAAAGACATCTAACGATTTGTACCTTAGAATTCCAAAGGGGCATCCGTATGCATTAAGTGATTGCAATAGGTTACTAGGCTTTATAAATGACTTCTGTATATTTCTTCCTTAAATTTTCCCAACCTTCTATAGCAGTTATTAGTTCCACTTTATAAAAGAAGAAAATAGGCTCAGTGAGGTTAATTAATAATTAAAATAATGTAGCTAACACAAAGAAAAAAATATCCTTGAAAACAGGAGATTTCCATGAGAATATTTACCCAGCATAGGATAGTGCCTGGCACAATTAGTAAATAGTCCATGCTGGGTCTACATCTACCCCTATCTGAGTCAAAATCCTAAGTTTCTTTCATTACCACCCTTCTCCTTATAAACCACAGCAAACAAGAAACCACAGGCAGAAACATTAATTCTATATAGTCCACCCTCTATAAAGACTGTAAACAAACATCTACATGCGAACATTCCTAAACCTCTGTGGAAGCCGCATCAATGCCTAGGTTTCAGAGTAGAGACTGTCTGTTGGGTAGCTCTAGCTGCAAGTCCCTCAGGTACCTCAAACACAATGGGTCCCAAACATCTTTGCTCACAAACCCTTCACTCCTTTATCTACTCATAATAAATTCTCTCCTTTGTGGCCCCATAGATAGTCATGCATACCAATAAATGGACCTATCTTTTAGGGTAGTGAATGAGCTTTAGTAATTTTTGTTTTCTCAGTACTTTGTGCAATTCCTGGCATAAAATAAGGGGTTTGATAAATAGTTGAAGTAAATATGCCAGCTTCTATATTATTTTATACATA